GTACTCGTCGGCCCGTCGCCTCAGTTTTGCCGCCTATTTCACGTGTAAGATATCCGCACTAACGCCAGGTACCTAGATGAAACAAGTGCCCAAGTTTCTGTCGTACCACTTGGTAGCAGCAAGCTTCAACCTACGATGTTTCGACTATGCTCTGCAAATGGCTCTGTCATTCCTACATATGGTATACGGCAGCTGTCGGTCAACCTGAGCAACCGACCACGGTATCTGTGGACGTTCATCATTGCTGATGTTCCGACAGATATACTCTGTATCGATTTCCTGCAGCACTGTGAATCGCCAGTCGATTCATGTATGCTGCAGCTAATCGATACTTCGTCGAACAGCAAATTTATGGGCTTCCGATCTCAAACAGGTGCACACAATATTACAGGGGTATTTCATTCGTGTGATGATATTTTCCACGCTTTACTCGAATAATTTCCCCAGCTAACTAAACCACTCGAGGAGAATGTGGTAGACCACATCGTCACCCGCGGACCACCAGTCACTCCGACTGGCACTGGTCAAATTAGCTTTCGCTAAACGTGAGTTTGCCGATTTACTAGCTACAGGTATTATTCGTCCTTCTCACAGTCTTTTGGCCTATCCACTACACATGTTTCGCAAAGAGGAGGGGATAAGTTGGCGACCATGTGGCGACTACCGAGCAACACGTCTCGATATCTATCCCATCCTCCATGTACACTACATCACGGCATCACTCATGGGCACGACTATTTATTCTAAGATTGATCAGGTACGAACATATCATCAGATCCCAGTCGCTCTTGAAGATATCGAGAAAAATGCTATCACGACTCCTTTCTGTCTATTTGAGTTCCTACGAATGCCATTTGGATTACGGAATGCTGCTCAAGTTTTCCAAAGGTTTATCGATAGCATAGTACGAGACTTTGCTTTTGTTCACATCTATATGGATGATCTGCTAATCGCATCACCAAACGTAGATGAAGATTATAAACATCTTACGTTTTTATTCCAACGCCTTTCGGATAATGGAATAGTTGTTAACCCAGAGAAGTGTGAAATGGGCAAGGCAGAAATAAGGGTTTTTGGTCACATCATTAAGCATGAGGGTATTCTACCTTGTGAAGATAAAGTACGTACAATGATGGAGTACACTATAACATTTTCACTCAAGGAACTGAAGGCATTTCTCGGTTTGGTTAACTTCTACCGACGTTTTATTCCTCACGCGACGGAGCAGTTAAGACCATTAACCGACTTACTTCTTGGTAGCCCACGTCAATTGGAGTTGAACGGTGCAACAAGTACTGCATTGTTAGAGCACTTAGTAATTAAACATTCCCTTTGCTATTTAATATGATATTTAGTGAGGGAGAAACCTTTGACCATATAGCATAGGCTGTGCAGTTTGAGGCATTTTAAAACTAAATTAAAGATGCAGATAAATAGTGAAGAACACGGAGATCGAGATCAAGAGGATACTAGCTCTTAAAGTTCTTTGCAGTCACTAGTCGCTTATACGCTTTTAGAACCTCACAGTTCTTCCAGAACGCGTCAGTTTATGTCCACCTTTCGATACAGGCGAGGTTAAGTATTGTTTACATCTTATTCACAGGAGCTGTGTATTTCATTTGTGGATTGGAGACATACGAAAACATGTGTACCGTGTCTAACGACAGGTTAGACGAAAACAGCTGACTGTAGTCAAGTGGAAACAGTTTCAGTTGAACTCATTGCATTTGTAAGCCTCCTGGCATAGAAGTGTAGTGATTTCACATTTACAAAGAAAACACGATTGGTCAAATAACAACACTCATCACTGTAACCAATTGTACCAGTGAACATTTTATCAATAATTTTGTCTGTTCGTAATTTTGCACCAGACCTTCCTTCTGCGCGGTCTCCATCTTGCTTTTGCTGCTCTATAACTTTCGCCCACAATCCCTGGCACGATTTGGGTTTTCTTTCGATAGCATGAAATCGCCAGCAAATGTACTTATTTCATCTGGATTATCCTGTTTTTATTTGTAAACGCATTCATAGTCCTCAACTCGAACACCTACAAGAGTTTAGGTCCATATTCATTGTATGAGGTGTGGGGTCTATAGATTATCCTGTAAGTCGATGCCCAGTGCCGTAAAGGATTACGGTTGCAGTGTATCCAACAGCTGCTTTCAGTGCACTACGGATTCTGAGTAACACAGTTGAGGAAGAGACTCATTCTACTGCGATACATTTGCAGCTGAGAATGAGACTTTTGGCTGTGAAGGAAATCGGGATACCGAATTGTTATATTGTGGATGGTCTCTCGTTAAGATCCGTGTGATTCTTAGAAGGGTAGTAGTACAGCGGTAAAGTTTGAGTTAAAACTTGCCTCCACTGGCTGTAGTAACAGCCGGAAGACAAATAAATTTTGATGTCTATCGTTTGTGAAAGGTGCTGACTGCTTTATCAGTTGTTTTGTTATTTGCTGCCTCTGGCCATCATCTTAAATCATCCAATCACACCAGGCTGTAAGAATTAGAGGTTTGAATCCTCTAAGGTTCCTACTTAGTCGAGATCAAAGTGGTCGAAGAGTGTCAGGAGTTCAGAAAGCAAGCGAATAGCGTATGTTAATCCTAATTACCTCATTTTTCAGACAGCTGATACAAGAACATATTCAATATCCCACGTCATAGCGCATATCAGGTCACCGAAATTGTTCTACTATCAGCGTCATGATTGCTTGGGTACCTAGATCAACGAATTTGTGCAAAATAATGAGGCCTATGTTCTGTGAAAAGAGTGAATTATCGATATTCCACAAATTTTTGAGTCCCACAGCACAATACATAGTTATGATTCCTCTGTAAAAAGTACTTTATCTGAACACAGTGTCATGCACTAGTCTTGAGATTAGTGCTGTGGTTGCTAAGTATAATTTACCCATTGTTATAAGACGCTTACAACTTCAGAGCCAGATATGTCTACTTTGATACTAATGAGTTCTGTGCTGTCAAAGTAGTTGAAACTTATTTGTCCATTATACGAGTGCAGTTTTTTGAGTGTGGTCGCGTCTTAGTAATCGAGAATTGCCACCATTTTATTTTCTAAAGTGCAGATACCTTGAGTGTCTAAGGAAAACGAGGTAGTTGTGTTCGGTTTGCCATTTCTGTGTAATACCATTGATGTCACGTTTTTGAATTCGGTGGAAAATAAGGTCCTTATGCTATAAATGAGGTTCACTGTTCGAATTTGTGGTTGAACATTCATTAACCTAGGCAACGCACAAAGTCGTGTTTTCTACAAACTTCATCAATGTGTAGTGGAATGCATTTACGAAGAGAACGCAATTGGTGAAATGGAAAGATTGATTATTGTGCACAGGTGTAACAATGACTTTTATTGTACTCCTTTTGTGTAACTGTACTAAAAAGCGATACTTACGTGCAAATTTCTGTTTAAGTTGCTGCCATTCTTCGTTCCATGCAGCTGTTTATTTCGCTCACTTACTCACTGTAATTTCAGTGTTCTTTCGACACCACGAAATCACCAGCGAATATATTCTTTACCCTAGATTTGTTTGTTTTCTAAGTGACAGGTTCGAATTAGTATTTAGTTGTGATAATAGTCAATCTGGACTCGGTAGACAGTATAAGTGGACCTCTGGAAAGTTTGTACACCATTTCCTAGATCAAATGGCATACTCAAAAATTTATACAGTCCAAATGATGTGATGATAGTAGTTTTAGGGATTTTTTATGCAGCCATAGGTTTTTAGTTATACTCTTGAACTAAGTCAATGCTTCAGAAGACGGTTATACCATCCAAGGTCGCTGTCACGTCGTGGACGTGATGTAAAAGGTAAGATTGGAGATAGTTTTCTTATTCAGTCGTCCATAACTACCGGTTGGACACCAATGAAAGCTGTCTCTTCTCGAGACCGTACAAAATGGGGTTGCCAATCAACTGTTCGATGGCTGAACACTCCACCAACCTACCTTTGCTCGAATTTGTTTCTGGCATGTATAAGCTAGTCGTCAAGCTTTCGAGGACACAGTTGGTCCTAAAGTCATGTAATGTTGCTGGCTACGCATGTCAATTCATTCGTCTTTAATACAGTTTTCGATACTCGACTGCTACTAGTTATGAATGATGGTCGTGTTAAAAATGACTAGGCATTACCTACAAAAGCAGACAATCAAGTATTAACTTCTACTAACCTGAATTAGCTGGTAGTGTATGGCATTGTGTCAAATCTATTCCAAATCAAAAACAGACGCAATAGTCTACTACAACCCACGGTAAAGACCATGATTCAACTGACAATCCTAGACATATTAATAAAATTAAGAATATTTTCTTAGGAAAGCTACATCTAACATATGAATTAACACGAGCCAGTTGAGACGTTTGCAGAATCTTATCTAACACTTCGTAGTTTGAACCATTTAAGTACATTTGGGATGCCCAACTCCGGTAAATTCTAATTTGTCGAAATTGCGCATTCATAAAACCCTTTAAATAAACCATATATGAATAGACCATACGATAACACATCGCAATGGACACAGATTCTGATCAAAGTCAAAAAGGTACTGAGACACGTGCTACCTAATAATTTTCACTAAATGCGCTCCTCCGACTAGTAAGTATGTGGCTCTTAGTGAGAATACAGGACATCATAGATGGATTGATGATGAGTAGATTAATATTTACCACTAAATTTACACTATGAGAGAGGATCGTAGTTCTACGTAAAAGATAATAATGAATAGGTAACTCTTAGATAGACATTCCGAAGTCAGCCCCGGTGTTTTAGAATCATCATAGATACAATCAAATAATAATTATTGATTAAAACTGAACAGTGGTTACAGCTAAATACTGTCAGATAATGGGAGACAGGGGAACAAATTTACTTTTCTGCAACCTAAAACAAAAAAACGTTTAACCTCCTTTTCGCTTATCGTGTCTTTATAGTTTTTTGGTTTTATTTGACTGGAATTGAGTTTCGAGCACTTAAGAGCGTCATTTAGGTCGTTCGTTACAATGGCTATTGAGCGTGTGGCCTATGTTGCCAAGATCAAAGGTCTCAGTCGGGAAGTGAAGATTGTAATTGAGTGATTAGTTCATCTAACAGTTTTCAGAAAGATGTCAAACAGTTCTTCAAGCCGATAAGGATCAAGGACTTCAAAGTACTAAGGAATGGTATGTTTCATCTGTTTATTCAATTCAGATAGGTATGGGTATTGTGTTTTTTCGCAATAAGCAGCACTTGGATGAAGCCCTCAAAAAGAAAGGACACGTATGTGGGAGAGCAGTAAAGATTGAGGAGCACATTAAAAGAGAGAGTAATACATCAAATGTGCAACAGTCTGACAAACCTAACTGGCCAGTCAAGACAAGCGAAGAAACAGTATCTGCTATATTAGAGGTAAGTTTTATCGTTCTATTAATTCATAATAGACTGGTCGATTATTTGTTCGTAATTTGTCGTATGATTGCACTGAACAAATGCTTGAAAAGTTATTTTCTGTTTACGGTTAGTTTCTATTGCATCGAATTATTATTCCTGTAGGCTCCTTATCGGATATTCACCTGGCTTTTGACTCTTGGTCGCAAGTATCTAAAGGGTTTGCATTTGTCACTTTCATGTTCCCGTCTGACGCTGTAAAAGCCTACAAATCACTAGACAAAACAAAGTTTATGGTGAGTAGTTCAGTATACTTTTTTTCCGTTTTTATATTTAGCTCAAGTGATTGCTTTATTGTCATACCTCAGCATCCTTTCTGTTTCCTGAACATGTTTCCTCCATATTAGTCTATTTATTGATTACGAGTAGTAGACTTTCTCCAGCTTTTTATTGATTTAAATATCGAAGTAAGTTACTGGAATTGTCAATGTCCCAGAACGCCAGTAAAATCCAACGTATCAACGAAATAACTGGTTACTGCCCATAACCAGAAAGTTTTCGCTAAATTTGATATCATTTTTGAGTGGTGTATTCTGGGACCACCAAGTAAGCAGTGTTGTGATTGTTAAACGAGTACTAAGTAAAGGACGGCAGGTCAATTCATGAAGTATTTAAACTTCTTCAGTCGAGCTGGTTGGGATGTGTTATGTATGCTAAACCACCGACTGCCACGACGAGCTATTTTGTGGTGTAAGGGTAGGTTGGGAGAAATCTAGGAGCGGCCAAACCGAAATATGTCACAAATCTATGAAGTCACTGACAAATGACTGAGCCATGTTGGTAGGTGTAGACTAACTAGTCGGGGCCCACAAAATGATAGTAACCGATGGTTAGAGACTTTGAACGACATGGCTCAAAATCGTTTGCAATGGCACAGGTGCATCCATTCTTTGTCTTCTATTAAATTCTAATCTTCATAATATACGGATTTTTAATATTTATAAATAGAATATCAGGCGCTTCATGTCATTCAAATTTTGGTAGAATCCGGTATTGCTTACTTTTTATAAAGACAAAACAGTAGTAAAATTTCACGTGTTTGTACTTAGAAATGAGTCCTTGATATTTGTAGGAGTCCTCAGGTAATCAGGATAACGTATCACTTTATATTTTGTCAGCAATTTTTATTCCATTTGAATTTTATTTTGAACAGTAAAAGTTAAAACGTACTTCAATCTGGTTTTTCAAGATGTAAATCCATTCAGTTTTCAAATTTTTGTTACTGACACTAGTATAGTAGTTAAAATCAGTTGAATTTACAGAGTATATAGTTTCGTATAATGTGAGAAAAAGAGCATGCAAACTGATGAGTTTTCCGAATATACCTCGTGTCCTCTAGCATGTTCATACATTTCATAATGTTTCTGAAAGTGTCGAGCCTACTATATTACTAAGTACATTTTTGCGGTGTATAACTCAAATCAGTCCTTCATTACTACTATAAATCTGGTCACAAATATGTATTCGCCGAAGTTGGCATACTACATCGGCGTATCAAGATATAATTACCAAAGTAAAATTCACACGACCTTAAGCAAAAGCAGTATCAATAATCGATAGGCAGACTAAATATTAGAGATGTAGTTTTTGGAAGAAGGTATGCGTAAAAGAATATGCTCCTCAATATATATTAGGGGAAATAAAAAGCAAATGCTTCTGAACCGATTCTGTCGATTACAGGCTGTATCAGCTGATTACCACAACTGCTAGACATGTCTGCACTCACCAACAGTCGTTAACCTCATGAACTGACGACACTGGTTTGGTCGCCGCTAGCTTTCGAACTACATTCGACATTCTGAATCGAGGCAGGCAGTCATTCGGTATACGTAACATACACTCGGACCACTGAAAACCCTACTAGTGCTATTTGATATGTCTTAAGACCCCTGTAGCATGTGAATTCATGCAAAATCTCCACAAACGATAAAATCATAGCCGCAAACATAGTTTTTGAAAATTATTTTGTTGATATATCGTTTTATCATTTGTTTCGTAAATAGTTTTTGTATTATTGTTTTCCGGATTCACTACAACCACTTGTCCTCTAACTACCAAGATCTACAATTATAATACCTTCTTCCTTAGGAAATCGTTAAAATAATATTCTGACTCATAACTATATTGGACGTGGGTTTCAGTCATCGTGGAAGAAAACTAAGGTATACTTTAATTTAATTCCAAATCTTACAATATAAGGTCATTAAATTAAAGATTGTAATGCATATGCGAATATAGGACTACAAGTCTTGAGTTTCCAAAAAGGCGTTTAAGGGATATAATAACATTACTAGAACCAGGTGCAATTAATATCTTTCAGCTTCTCTACCAGATATAATTAACCGTATGATTTAAAGTGTTTATATGGCCATCTAATTTCACGATTCCACGAAACACTTGGATATAATAAATTAGCATACTCATATTCTCATGGTTTTGTATTAAAAATCACACTTGTGCACTGTGAATCATGCTAAAGCTTAACATGACAGGATGTCTAACTTTCCCATATGATTTATAAACCAGTTTACTTGATACTAAATTAAGCTCCCAACGTATAATCTAAATTTATTCCAACTATTTAACTACCAGTCATTTTCGCATTTCATTTATATTGGCTGGTGTATTTGTAGATCTATTATTGAATAAGTTTTGATTACAATAGATATCTAATTGTTAACTGACTAGTTATTTGTAAAATTACATTGTATGTATCTCACCATTAAATGTTTGTTAGCCTTAATGTGTATTGCTAACTATATTTTAACTGATTATTACATGTTCACATTTAGAATAGGCTAATCCACATCCTCCCTGGTCAAGAACATCTGGAACCAAAGCATCCAGTTAAAAACCCTTTGAACAATTCCCATGGCAATGAAAATTCCACTGATTCGTCAAAAATGTTGCAATCAAGTTTTCAAAATGATCGATTTCAAGAATTGAAAAAGGATGCAAGTGTTGGACATAATTGGAATGCCTTATTTATTCGTCCAGATGCTGTTGCTACTTATTTAGCTGCGAAATTCGGTTTGACCATGGTAAAAAATTATATTTAGCTGCATATTAGCTTACAAATAATCTGTGAACTTTATGGTAATTAACAATATACGATGTGCTACTGATCGTTAAGAAATAAATCTAGTATAAATTTTCATAGTTCGATTGGAATCTATAAATGTGAACTGTAGTTTGAGTTTACGCCTTTAATCTTAAGTGTTTTCAGTAATTCTTAACAGTTCACTTATTCATCGTATTGTTATAACTTTAACAGAAAACTGTGAATGCTGAACGAAAGAAAAAAAGCAAATGATGATTTATTTGACATCAAAAATCAATTAATAACTTTACAATTACTTTGATTTTTAGTTTTTGTGATTTCTCGCACTGATTAATAGCCACATTTTGAGCAAATTATACAGAGTGGCACCCGACATTAAATGGTCAACAATTTGAGCATATGGTTACAATTTACAGTGTCATCAAATTAAACCGTTGTCACTAAAAAATGTAACTAATTATCAAGTTATTTAATTATGCTATGATAAATGTAAAATTTATTCGTGATTAAGTCAAGGCGATTAGCAAAACTGACTGTAGTGTTCCTTAGGAAGTATAAAAAACGTAAAGTATGTGAACGAACCAGCAGATTTAAAAATAGCCGCTACTGTATTTTATCGTATATTTCGAAATCCAGTGACAAACAATTTGCAAGATGTTAAAAGCCATGTAAACAATTCAACGAAATTTGTGATTATTTCGCAACTTAGGTGCTGAAAATTGACAAACACAGTAAAACTAAAAACTAGAAACTCATTTATTTAATTTCTAAAACTGCGATAATAGTTTTTTTCAGGGAAAAACTAGAAAAAAACTTATCTAAAGCTAAAGAAAACGTTTGCAAGATTATTGAATTTTTCAAAGTAACGTAAAAGTTTTTGGGTTAATGTTATACTTTAAAAACGAGCTTTTAAAATTTGAGATTTTGCTTCGTGGATATTTATCACGAACTTCATTTATACATAAGGTTTTAAAAGAAGAATATTTTACTGTCTGTCTATCTTACTGGATTTCAGACAAGGCGTTAATAACTCTAGTAACATCTCAAATTGCGAACTTAGGTGATGATGCAAATTTGAATCCCCATATGAAATATCATTTCCTTCAATATTGCAAGAACGCCTTGCTGAAGGGTTTCAACTAGCGCGAAACCTGCTAGTAGTTATCCCTAATCACCCGACAGCTTAATTTGGCTTTTCAATATTTTCTTTGTTATATTGACACTTTGACATTATGTTATCCTACTTTTGTGTGGGTTAATTTCACGAAATATCATAATCATAAATCATTCAAAACTAAACACTTACGGATTTGTTTTTTTTTTGTTAAATTCTTTTAAGGAACAAGTTTTAGATCCATCAAGTAATAAATCAGTTGCTGTACGATTAGCACATGGTGAAACTCAATTAATTACTGAAATGAAAGAATTTTTAAAAACTCATGGTGTACGATTGGAAGCTTTTGAAAAGCACAATAATGAGACCGAAGCAAAGGCATTAGAAGATAATTCTGTTATTGTTCATGAAACATCAGGTCAACGGAATCGTTTAGAATCAAAATCAAAATCAGCTATTCGTCAATTATCAGGAACTGCATTTTTAATAAAAAATCTACCAGCTGGAACAACTGAGTTTGAAATTCGAGATTTGCTTAAACAATATACGAAAAGGGCTGCAACTGCGGATTCTACCAACTCTTTACATCGTTCTGGATTAAAACGTGTTCTGGTACCACCTTTAGGTATTACGGCTATTGTAGAATATGCTCATTCTCAACAAGCTCGATTAATGTACAAAGCGCTTGCATATGAACCGGTACGTTGTATTTTTCTTACTTACTACCTTAGAATAAACATATCTTGATGATTTTGATTTGTGTCTTGGAAAAGTTTGCTCAGTAATCAAAACTGATGATATGCAGCCTCTTCACTAATATTGTTTACTTTTGTTGTTTTACTATTTTGTATCTGATGACCATCATACTACATTCGACTGTTCTCAAATCAGAACAAGAATTGAATGCAAACAATTCCAATAACCTAAACAACAAAAATGCTGTAGTAAAAATATAATGATTTTCATCAAACCAAGATAAGAAACATCTAGCAGCTCGGCTCGTCCTCTAGCACTGATTGGTTAAAAACAGACCAATCAGCGTATCGCGATCGGAACCAGGTCGAGTTATGTCAATAGACAGAATTCTATTTTACTAATAACCTTCAACTCCAGTGATCTTCATGAATAACTATCTTAACTATTTATCTAAGGGGAGATAGTATCATAGTTGGTTAAATACAGTAGCACGCGATGCCATAATGACAGGATATCACAGTACAGTGTTGACTGGACTTTGAACTTTGAATTCAAAGTATAAGTGTTAAGCAATCAGTGGCTGGTTTTTTGAAAAATTTCCTAAATACACAATATATTGTCGTAATCATTATGACACCTTCATAGTAAACATAACTATGACGTATAGAACGTTTTATATCAGAGTTACTTAGTCCCTAAATATTTGTAATCTTATTGTATTTCATGCTGAATTGTCGTCATTACGTGTTTCGTAATGGTTATCATATTTTGTAATCTTGTCTTTATAAGTTTTTTTTCTGAAAATAATGACTAACGTTGAAGAAAGGAGCTTATTCGGGTCATGCTTTTAACAAGTAACTGATAAAGTGAGCCAATTGACTCGGACACCTCTGCTAAATTTGCATGATTTGAAAGTTTTTGTCTCATGATCTCATGCACCTCTAATTGTAATGCTCAAGCCCCTCATCAGCTAACTAATTAGTGAGATAACTAAGCGTGATCAAGGAAGTTTATCGGATCATATGCACACATGAGTGCTTGTGTATATGAGTTGCTTTGACTTGATAAACTTCCTTCTCCACTCTCAGTCCTCTCACTTAGTATAGCCAGTTGGTTGGGAGCTTAATTATAGGAAGCACGTGTATCAATATCAGTTTTAGACCCCATGCATCATAACCATAGCCATTTGGTTGCAAAAATGTTTGAACTATCAAACCTTGTGCTACAATACTTCACAGTTATCACTGGAATTTGTTTACATTAACTGATCTAGTCAACTTTTATATTTGTAAGTACTTGGGTGGTGAGTCCGAATTTGTGTAAGATGACAAAGTTATTACGTAAAATAACCCAGACTGGTAAATTTGGCTATTCTGTAAGGGTAATTCATTTGCTGAGTACAGATGTGTTATAATCTATAACATCCGTTTCAGATGCGCGTTCTTTCTTGTACGCTTGTTCACCTAACCACGGTAGTGAGAAGATTGAAGAATGACTATTAGGGTGTAATTAGCAAAGCCGAATGAATAAGTACACATATTAATTGAAATGCATTTATCCTTCTGACTGAGACAAGGACATAGGGGTTAAAAGTTTACCTAGGTGTATAATCTACTTCCTTCCACAGTATGTCTCGTGCATGAGATTCAAACTATTGTTTGACCTTGGGGTAAGATATAAGCATGGACATGCTTGAACTTTCCTAGTCTCTCCGTGTACTCAGAGTTAAACTACATTTTATGCAACGACTGTTGACACTACTGGACTATCCAAAGAGAATTAGATAGAATTGAGGTTTGAATATATGACAAATTAGTGGTTTAAATTTGATTACTTAACTGGTTCTGTTTTTATGCTAGAATTCTTAATTCGAATCTTGGTTTGAATAGCGAAGCAGAAAAATATCGATTTGACGCTGGAAGCTTCATAATATTTACAAAAACCTTTCTCTTACAGTTTTATTAATCTTATCCGGCAGATCACTTGTTCTTTTCTAACAAAATTCAGTCATACTTCTTACCGAATACTGAATATTTAAAAGTAAATTGAGTTATCCTTAGTCGTTTGTAAACGGTAGATACAACTTTATATGGTTAATTGTTTTTTATCAATTAGATTATTGCCAGTTTTCTGATAGAAATTGTAATACTTTCAAATAATTCTTCACAAATATCGTCTTATATCATTCTTCTTAGTTTAGAGACAGTGTTCTCTTTCTACAATGGTTACCGGAAGGAGCTTTAAAATCATCCACTCCTGATGATAATGAAAGTGAGCCAATAAAATCTGAAGAAGCTTCTACGCATAAGCCGATGAAGGCGAAACACAAACACTCATCTGTTGTTAAAGTTGAAAAAATGGAGTAAGTTATTTTTTATTGGTTAGTTCGCTGCACATATGAATTATGTCAATGGATATCTGAGCTCGAATACATGCTATCCAGAAAAGGTTAAGGTGTTCTATTATCAAACATTAAATTGTAGGCTTAAATATCTCACCTGATTTAGGTTAATAAAGTGTAGTTGTAACAACATTAGCCCTTATAGAAAGGAAGTTTATCTCATAGGAGTTTACAAAACTTTGTATTTGATAAGTCATTTATATTCTTACTATAAATAGAAGAGCTCTATGGAGATTCTTGAATTTTACAAGTCGCATCACAAAATGACGTTAAAAAACTTTAAAACTAGAAAGCAGTGGACAGCTATTTCGCCCTAGTATTGGGACTCAGCAATGCATACCTACCACTTATTGGGGATTAAACTCAACGCATTCACGTCTCAAAACCGTTTGTACTGGCGCAGGTGCATTTATTCATTATCTCGAATCCTAACCTTCAGAGTTCCTCATCACCCTTATCTTTTTCTTTTCAAGTTTATTTCACTAGATTCTACTTCTTGAATAATATCCTGGAACCGTAATCTCTCCGATTACTGCTAATACTTCTACTATGGGATTTGAATTGACAATTGCGTCTCTGTGCTAATGTGGTATGGCAACTCGAACTGATGTACGTATATACAAAGTTCTACGTTTTAACTGACTGACTGACATCTCACAACGAGCGCTTAGACTTAAGCCTACGTAGTTGGCATCCATTGACTTATGTTTTTGATCTCAATCAATTCTCTATATATTGTGTAACTATTTTCCAATACTATTGAAGAGTATTTGCTTCACTCCGACCATAGTTGAATTCCATTTGTCACAGCATCTCACCGGAACACCTGTGGGGTCACAAATACACAGTGTTGAAGAGTTGCCTACCATGACAAAACATCTGTCCAGTTCTTCATGGTTTTCTAACTACCATCAGTTTGTGATATTAACCATATTATTATGATTATTATTATTATTATTATCTATTTCCATCAATCGATATCTTGATGTTGATTAAGTTTTCACCTTTCCGATTTTTGTAATTTTCTCATGCTAGACAATCTGACGAAGAATTCGAACTGGTTACATCTATTCCAACTGGTAAACGCAAATTCAAGGAAGAAGAAGAAGAAGAAGACAACGACAACGAAGAGACAACAACAACAGCGGCAGCAGCTATGAATTCACATCAGCCATCAAAATCCAAGAAAATTAAAAAACATTTAAATAAAAAACAAAAAATTGAACAACAAACTAATGATGAATCAATGGAATTGGAATCAATTCACAAAACTACTGTACATAAAAGCAAAAAAATTAAATTCACTGACGATGATGATGCTGATGATGTTGGAGTTGATCATGTCCGTTTGCCTCATTCTAATGATACAAATATTGTAAATAAACATGATACTAATGAACAAGCATACAAAGAAAAGATCAATAACAAAAAACTCATATCATTGAAACAATTGAAAAAAAATAATGTTTTAATTGTTCGTAATGTTCCATTTCAAGCTACACAAAAAGAATTGGTTGAATTATTTCAACCAATTGGTGGTTTGGTCAATGTTCGATTACCGAAAAAATCAACTGGTGGACATTGTGGATTTGCTTTTGTTGAATTTGATACATTGGATAAAGCAAAAGTTAGTAGAATTGGGTGTTAAATTTAGTTGGCTACTTTTTTCCCCGGTTTTTTTATTATTTCACGATTGTTACGCCTGCACGTAAACACGTCAACTTAATAAACTCGAACTATTACGAGTTTACCTAGTCAGAAAACGAGAGCGAGGATCCGGTGACACGACGTGCTACTCAAATCCGATTATCCCAACCCCCCATATTGAATAAAAATAAGAAAACATGATATATGAAGTAGAACATGTATTCTACAAGCATCCAGAAAGTACGAGGTCCGAATCAAGAAGAGAGTCAGGATCCCGGACTAGGGATCCGGGACCGAGCCCTGGTCATGGTCATAAAACGTTACAGATAATGCGTATTTATACATTTTGGTCAAATAGGAAACAGCATCGAATTCTGTGGCACTGACAATTAAGACGACCAATAGGAAGTAACATTTGAAGTGACATTGATAGTCCGGATGACCAATAAGAGACAACATTGAAGTATTTGACTCTGACGGTTAAAACGACCATAATTTTGACCAATAGAAATCGACCAATAGGATTTGACCAATAATTCTCTTAGGATGAATATCCTAACAGAAGTGGCGGTGAATAGTTGTTTTGTCCTAGTTTAGGACTGCTCAACAATGAGCATTCGCCAATTCCACCACGAATAAGACCTAGAACCTTGGGCAAGAATGTTTAACCTTTTAGCCTCTGAGACTGAGATCCAGTGGTGTGTATGTCTAGTTTCAGTCTGTTTGATTTTGGTTAAACAGATCTTAATAGAAGTGGTATACTTGTGTCTAAGATTGAAACCATTGCTTTGTGGTTCATGAGGGTTTCACTAGTCTATGTTTCGTCATGAAGTATCGTCAGAATTCAGAAAGCTCTGAATACTTTATTTTTAAAACACGCACATAAGACGATTGAGTGACAACGACGTTGGATAGCAGTCTTAAAGTTCATGCTGAGTCCAAAAGCTTACCGAGAACTTACAGATAATTTAGTCTCAAACTATTGTGTAAGAGTTGTTTATAATCCTCCAGTTCTAACTTTTATTTCTACTGTTTATCATTCTTTGAACATCATATCACTCAGTTCTTCCCAACTGTGAGAACAAGCATTCCGAGCAGTCAATGTTATACTACAGTAATTTTAAACAGCAAAGATGAAGTAGTAGCAATAGAGTTTATATAGAGTTAAAAAAAATTTAGCATCTCGATTTATCCATTAGCTTTGATTGGTTCAAAAAGTGCTAACTAATATACGATCATGAAAACTGAAATTTAAAGTCTTAATTCAGTCAGGTATTATTATTACTCCTGCCCTAATTGTAAGCGTTCACTTGACTCATTAACTATTAATATGTGTTTTACCACTCATACACACCGGTTAGCGATTTTTTTTATCTCCCTGATGCTCAGTTTGTATCACAAATTGCGATCATTTATATACGGTGCATTGTCTTGTAAGCAATGTATCTTATAATATGAGTTTTTGAGTCCTCAAAATATACAGTGAGAAGATTGGCTGGCTTTCTTCTTATCATGGAAAGTAGAATGCTATAAGATTTAATTAGAATCAGCATGCTTAGTAGACATCTTAGTTGAGTAACCTCATTAGCGTAAAGCAGACTCATCATTAGTGAACTCATCCAGTTATTAGTCTCAATAAATGATCATATTGAAGTTGACTTTATAACAGAACTCACTCCAATAAGATGACTATTAACAATTAGGTAGAAGCTTTTTCGGTATAGCATAAGAATCATTCGTAGTGTGCACTTACTACCTAACGAAAGATCGAACTCATGTTCTTCATCAAATCTTCTAATGAGCTCAGTCAAAGTATTACTTATTGGTTAATTTATTTATCAGTGTAAGGTTATGGTGGTTGTTGGGATTCATTGAAATCATGAACTGATCTCTGTTATACCACCATCTCTAGACCATTGAGTCGGCACCCAACGATGTTAACATCTAACTTCAATCAATTCACGATGTTGTGCGACCATCATTCATTGTCTTCGGTGGGTTACTAACTGTCTCACGCTCGTTACAATTGAACACCACAATAGCTTTTCACTGGTGATCTAACATTTGTCAACTCATGATTTTCCAATGAAGTTTATTTTATTCACTTCAATTATGTTATTAGTCAGTTAGATTATGCCATGATATAATGTGATTTGTTTGTTTGCTTGCGTTTATTTTCCCCTTTTCATTTAGATTGCATTAGAGACATTGGGTATATCTACACATTTATTAGGTCGTCGTTTACTTATGGAATATGCACAAACATAAATAAAAACAATTCTTGTAAAACTTGTAATTGAATTTCTATCTTTGTAAATAATAATAATTCATTCAAATAAATTTATTTCTTTTTTTCTTTTGTAGAATATTCATTTAATCAGAAATATAACTTTGTTCTTATTCCTTTGCTTAGTTAGTTTGTTTAGTCATTAATGAATTTAGATTCATAGAACATCTACAATTCGTTTTAACTCATAGCGTAGAAAATCTAACAATTATCCATTTTATATCTAGTGAACAAATAAACTGGAATATTTGAATATTGTTGAAGCTATTTTTTTATTAATTAGATTAAAATTCACATTATTAGTAAAGCAATGAAAACCAGAAAGTATTGAGCAGTTGTTTTATCCTAGTTTGTTTTTTTTCGGACTTATCAGCAATACACATTCATACACTAAACGTCATATAATGATCTCATCACACACATCTATCTGTATCGATTTCCAGGCGTTGATTTTTCCTGAAGAACAGCTACTTCATATCTCTTTTGACAAGACTATGCTCACAACTTTAAGAATTCTTCTTGAATCTAATAAATAGAAGTATATGTCAATCAGTCAACACCAACGTAGAACTTCGTACGTAAGTACATCAGTTCAAGTCCTAATCTGAGAGATTAGGGTTCGAAGATGTTATTCAAGAAGTAGAATCTAGTGAAATAAACTTAAAAAGGTAAAGGTGATGAGGAATTCAGAAGATTAGAATTCCAGAGAACACAAAGAGTGGATACACCTGCTCCATTGCGAACGGTTTTGAGCTGTCATCCAGGGTCTCTAACCGTCGATTACTATCATCTCGCGGGCCTCCAACTGGGTAGTCGACACCTACCGACATGACTAAGTATATGTATGTCAAATTACCATAAAACCTAACTCTAAACTTAACAAAGGTATCAACGAGTTGTAATCATACATAAATTTATTTTGTCTAATGGATTTCATTGTTTGTTAAACAGGTATTATCAATTAATTACTCATGTACTTTGAATCTGGTTCATAAACTAATCTGAACCTAATAAATGAGATGAATCTAATGAGAAATATAGTAGTACTCAATAATTTGGGATAGTGTTAGCAATTTTTAAAGATCACTGATAAGCTAACATAATTCAGACAGTCTTATAAAGAACTACGTGAGATATAAAAGTGTCTCATATTACTACTGCGATATGTATCAATTAAAATCCAAAGTAGTAAGGTCCCTCAAGTTTGGAAATACAAACGATGTATGCTTACTGATAAGCAATCATGATTCTTTCCTTTCTTACAATTTCTTATGAAATCTCACCTATTAATCAGACCAGAACAAAATATGGCAGAAATCCATGAAGTCACTGACAAGTGGACTGAGTCATGTCGGTAGGTGTCGACTACCTGGTTGGGGTCCGCGAGATGATAATAATCTATGGTTATAGACACTGAATGACACGGCTCAAAACCGTTTGCAATGTCGCAGGTGCATTCCTTCTCTGTGTTCTGTCAAATTCTAACCTTCGGAGTTCCTCATCACCTTTATTTTCTTTAAGTTTGTTTCACTGGATTCTACTTCTTAAATAATATCTCCGATAACTGCTAATACTTTTACTACTTCTACCACTATGGGACTTGAACCGACAATTGCATCTCTGCGCTAATGTGGTATAACAACCTAAACTGATGTACGTACGAAGTTCTACGTTAACTGATTGACAAGTTGATGTACAAACCGATTTCAGAGGCAAAATCATTCACAGTTTGACACTTAAACTATAAATTCCCCATTGTAACACGTCTCATAGTTTTAAATATAAAGTTTCAAAATGTTAAAAAATGAAACCCTATTCCATGTGTACAATCGAAATGGTTTATTATAGTTGTTAACCAAAAACTCAAAAAAAACAAATGGATGCGCGATTTTTTATGTTTTCTCTTTTGTTTACATTACATTATTTAAACAAAATATCATGGCGTCGTTTAAAACAACTCAAGTAGTTGTTCTTTCTATTTTTTTCAAAAAAAATGTCAGTTCAATAAAACAACCTTATCATTGTCATTTGATGTTAATTAAAAGCAACAATCCCAAAATAAATATTATGTTATGTTCTTCTGAATAAATTTAAAAATAAAACCATTTTTTCTTTTTTCAGAAATGCAATATTTTATATTTTTGTGTTATACAAACAATTTTGACTAGAGATGTTCAATCTAGTCAACAAATTAAATATATATATATATATATATATATATATATATATATATATATATGCATGTTTTTTTTAAAAGCTAACTACCATTGCCTATTTAATTCATATTTGCATTAATTAAACACACAATAAGAGTAAAAGATTGTCGGTCTGATATAAATCTATGTTGATTCGTTTCACTAATTGACTTCATTTTTTTACTACTACTGTATTTAAACCAATTGAGATTTCATATGCTGGAGGTGGTGTATCTGATCTATTGTTAAATGTTAATGACAATGGTAACGAATTGTTTAAATCATTAAGTTCATGAGCGCGAGAATTTTGGCGGCAATATTGATTATTGTTATTATAGCTGTAATCAAATGTATGCTTATCTGGGCATTCTTTTAATGTTAAACTTAATTGTTTCTCCAAACAATGTTTAGCGGTATTATTAGACTTTAAAACTGAATTCACTTTGTTGTTTTCATTGAAATGTACGTTTTCTTTTACATAACGCTGAGGTTTATCAATCAAAGATAAATTTGTTTGATTCTGATAAGTTTTATGTGAATTCTTTTCATTGTTCATATAAATTTTATCTGAAAATGTTTTATTTACATAAAGAAGACAAGGCCAATCTTGTATTGGTTTAATTTTAGTAGAAATTTGTTTTTCATGTTGTATTGGACAAACAAATTGTTGACAAGATGTTTTATGTTGATTAGGCTTTATTGATTCCATAGTAGTGGTTGAATGTTCAATAGATTTTAGCAAATTTGTAGTATTGATCATTTGACAAGTAGGCGGCATAGTATTGGATTTTTTCAAATTTTGATGTTTATAACTTGTACAGAAAAATAGAATTCCTCCAATTAATGAACAGATCATTAGAAGGAAAGCCATTGTTAAGATAATAAATAATATTAAAAATTCATTGTGTCGATGATTCAACCGATTTTCACGCATTGAATTGTTTACATGTTTATCATGTTGACAATCATCAGTAGTGGAATGATGATTTTGATAATGATAATGATAATTATGTTGTGTTTGATTTGATTTTCGCAATTCACAATGTTTTCCATCCCATCCAGATGAACATAAACATTTGTATGATCCTAAGAGATCACGACAACCAGCATTATTTTGACATAATGGACGACCAGTTTGTTTTGGTATTTCCGAACATTCATTTACATTCTCTCGACATGTTCTACCTTTCCATCCTTTTAAACAATGACATTGAAAACTGATTGATTCATCTAAACATTCTCCACCATTAGAGCATGAATTATTTTGACATGCTTTTAATGTGTATTGACATTGTGAACCAATGAAACGTGGTGGACAAATACATTGATAACCATTTATTAAATCAACACACTGACCACCTAAAAGTTTGTAAAATTGTTAGATTGTTCAATTGTGATCTATAATCATTAAGTTGGGATAGTGTCTAGCAATGAAATCTAGAACGCATGTCTTTTACTATCTAGGATGGTACCTACAAGCTAGTGTTGATGCTCGCAATGAGATTTAAACCCTATCGCTTCAAAATCGAATACATTTTCCATTGAATCACTGAAAATAAATAGTCACTCGCTTGTGAAACGAATATCAATTTTCTTTTTAAAGGTTTTTCCTCACCTCGTCGTCCATGTTTCGGAATGCAACTGAGTGTCGCCGACACATCCGGCTGATGTGTCCTAAATAGGATGAAACTGTCGACCTGGATACCATTCCAACTTTAATAAATAATTATATCGGATAGTAAACTAACGATGTATTGAGATTACAACTTAAATTATTGGATCAAAGGATTTGTTATTAATTAGCTAGCTGAGTAGTAGAAAATATGATTAAGCGCAAGTACGGTCACGTATAGAGCCAACCAGTGAATTAAATTCATACCTTATTTTAGTAAATCAATTATTATCCCTTTCAAATTACTCTTCAATGTTGTCCCAATGCACATGTTTTTATGTTATTTTTTCATCTTCGCCCCATTGTCGCAATTACTTGAAATGGTACTAATCGCTTGTTTATTTATGACGTGATTGTTTTTTTCTAGACTAAGATTTATGAGATGATTTTGTATGTATTCAGTAATAAAACGTTAGTTTATTAAGTTCGTCAGTTGATATGCTTGAAACTATTACGAGTTCACCGTAGTCGGTAAACGAGAGCGAAGATCCAGTGGCACGATAGGCTACTCTAATCTGAGCGCCCCAAGGCCCCACTAAGTAGAGGAAGATGTCTTGACATGACGTAGAAAGTGTATTCTACAAGCACCCAGAAAATTGAGGTTAACAAGCACACAAATCGATTTTAGTCATACATGATAGAAACGTCCTTGAGAGAGCCACAAAAATAGCGCACTAAAATAATACCTCAACCAATGACAGTCAAGGACTTTCTCGGTGAGACTTGTAATCTCATGGTTAACTGATGAGCCCATGCGCGAAAGCATTAAACTCAAAATTAGGACCTTTATCAAGTGAGTTCTGGGGATCTAACGTCCCCAACAGTTATCTGAACCTGTAAGCTGTTTATATTTATGATTCAGTTGATGAGAATCAATCTTCCAATCCACAGTTTCATTCTTTTACAAGCAAAATCAAAATTTTCGACAAATCTATAGAATGAAATAGCTAAATTTCTCACTGATAACCATATTTTGCTATTTACTACACAAAATATTTGTGTCGATTGACAGTGCAACAATATCTTGACCAAGAGATCGATGAGAAGTCCTTCAGTCTAAAAAGAAGTAATCAATCAGTTTTAGACATGTTGGAAACAAGGCAGTAACTCATCAATAGCATCGGAAAATGAAAGTGCAATAGTACAGGTTGATGTTAAAGTAAACATACAAATTAGTTGTTGGCAACTCAATGACCTAAAGCTTAAGCGCTCATTGCTAGACCTGAAAGTCCTGAGTTCGACACGTGATGGGCTGGATGACGTATGATAATAAAGGGCTTTATTTTTGCGCCAAAAATATTAGAATATCATTGAAACATCATTAAAAAAATGACAAAACAAACTTACCATTTTGACATGGTTGCGATAAACACTCATCTAAGTCGTATTCACAATTTTCACCGAATTTCCCTTGTTCACATTGACATTTGAATTGTTTTACAATTTGATTTGATTGTTCATTAATAGTTAGTATTGTTGTTTTGTTTGATGTTACATAACATTTGGATAAATTTCCGGAACATGGATTCTGACTACATGTTGTTTGATTGAATTGACAAAATAAACCATAGTAATTGGAATCACATATACAATTGCCTTCTTTCTGTGTCATATAGCGTAATTGCGTAATATTAATGGAATTGTTACAAAGTCAACAATAAAATGAATATTACTGAGTATTATATGAATAGATGAAAAAAGGAATACTGTAATGAATTATGTAATAGCATATATAGTTAACTATGAATGGTATTGATTTTTAAGTGTGAGTATTTTATCTATGGGGGCGGAAACTTGGAGAACTGCGAGAGCTATCATCCGGAAGCTACTTCAGGTCCGCTGGCTGGACACTATCAGCAACAACCTACTATGGGCAGGGAACAAACTAGATTTCTGCAGACAAAGAAATTAGGAAGAAGCGCTAAAAGTGGATAGGACACACATTGAGGAAAGCACCCAACTGCGTCACAAGACAAGCCCTCACTTGGAACCCTCAAGGCCAAAAGAAAAGAGTGAGATCGAAAAAACACATTAGGCTGAGAAATGGAAACAGACATGAGAAGAATGAAGAACAGTTGGATAGAACTAGAAAGGAATGCCCAGGACAGAGTAGGTTGGAGAATGCTGGTCGGCGGCCTTTTCTGCACAAGGGGTAACAGGCGTAAGTAAGTAATTTTATCACAGTATTAGATGAATAATTTTTTAGAAGGCGGTCCTAGACGATTTGTTTGGGAAAGCAGCCTTAGGGATCCTGGACTACTGACGCCGACCCTATATGGTCGTCCCGAACACTCTGCATCTCGGTGTATTGTGTAAACTGGCGTCAAGGCTCCTTAAACAAGGGCCTCCAGTTGGGTTATGTGATCCGGTGCTAAAGGGTACTGGACGCCAATGATGTCTGCCCACTTCTGTGGGATTAACCCAGCTTGGCCGAGTCCATGACATCTTCCCCATGGGAGGGTGTACGTTCCGGCTGACCTTGTGGGACAAACTCGATCTTTAGCTTCATGCGGCGTCTGAGGGCTCCGGTCGATTGTATCGGCACTAGGCAGTCGGAGGCCAGACTGTTGGAATGGCTGCTGGTTAGTGCACTGCTGGGTAGCTCGGTAATCCTTTCGGGTGCTAGGTCCGGCTGGGTAAGCCCGCCTTGCCGCCCATGCCGATTGGGGATTTCGGGTAGTAGATTGGTGGAGGGATCTTGTTGATTCATAAGTGCCCGAACGGGGGCCACTGTTCGTGTGCGTGCTTTTTGGACGTCCGACCTGCTTGCGGGCCAAACTGGACAACATGTACGTTCCCGATTGGGGCAGGGGTGATCACTAAAACGGCTACGGTGAGAATCCTTGTGTTGCCTAAAAGGCAGCGATGTGCATGTGCAGCAGGCTTGTCAGTTAACCAAGACCCTTAGATGAATAGTATTTTAGAATTGTAACTGAAATTGTTTATTGTGTGTTAAATCAGCTCCAATGAATGGGAACGAAATGTTGCTATCACAAATAAGTTCTGTTTTATTATATCACAACTGAAGATATTATGTAGAGTCGGACTTTATTGAATTAATGTGTTCTGCTTGAAGCAGTGTAAGTTAAAAAACCCTTACATCCATATTATATTACACTAAGAAAGTTTACTAAAGATTGATAAGGTTTTAAAAACCCTCAGTTATTTCACAGTACTAATAATCTCAATGCAAATATCCACCAATGACTCAAAACAAAAGGTTGAGAAATATAAGTGGGTTTCAATAACATCCACTGAGTTGATAAATGCCCGAAAACTCATCCTGCCAGACTTAGAACACAATAAGGAACAGAGGAAACTTAAACCTAGATTGATAAAAAGTCTAAGCCATGATCTTGAGCTGTGCTGAACAGTAAAGATCAAGCCACTGGCGTAAGGCAACAACAGACAACGGTTTAGATTTATCAAATAAACAAGTAATAAAGATTTCGGAGTTAATGCGACTATTTTGGAAAAAGATGAGACAATGATCTTTACAGCCCATACAGTTGTTTATGATTGGATTAAGCCGGATAAGTAGGTGCGGACTATCGTGATTAAGGTCTAAGCGATTATCCTACACAATGGTTGGAGAATTTATGTGACATGGCTCGGAATTGTTCTCAGTGATCATGTCTTTCGTTATATCCTAAGTTTCTTAATTATTTAGAGGAATTTATTTTCATTCCACGCTTCCACAATTCCTTCTCGAAACGTGTTTTCTATGTCTAACTATTTCTAAAATCATTAATACTGTTATTATTTTTGCGAGCCTGCTATATTTTTGTGCTGAAGTAATGCGGCACCCTGAACCGAAGCACATATGTGCTAGGTTCTATGTTACGCATGATTGACTGACTGACTTTTATCACCTACTTTTTCTTTTTTCCAGAGCATTCTTTCTCCTAGTTCATACTAGTGGCTTACATAAATTCTTCACTTTATTTTTAACATTTAACCAGCATCATTGTATGGAGCTTTATGTTTGAAATCTTTAACAATATGTTATAAACTATCATTAACATTTTGACTCTTTGTCACACTAGACTAAAAATTTGGATTTCTATGCCTACAGTCTAAAATATGTATGTTTTGTTTCTGAGAAATATACTGATATTCACGTAATTATTCCAACCAACTCAGATTCCGAAGGTATTTTTCATGGTTATGCAGAGAAACAGTTTGGTGTTCAGAAAGCTCACACACTGATTAGTTAGTCTTCGGTTACATGTCCCTATATGAAATTCAGACTGTAGTGAAGTATGAAGTCTATTTGTAGTTTCCCAATTACACACCCTCTAACAAAAATTCTATGGATTTGGAGGTGATTTGTATGCAACATTATTAAAGTCCATCAAAAATATAGGTGTTCCAGATTTAGTCGTAGTAACAATACCTCTGGTATGTATGGTTAAGACAATTAGAAATGCACCTGGTTCATACATTTTTACTCCTTAACCGTAGAAAATAATGATGAAAACTGCACCCAAAGTAACTGCATTCGTACTAATATGAATATGAAGCATAATATGTTGAGAGGGCTACCAAATAACTTGATACGGTCGAGTCCGCTTGCCCTGTTGAAATGTTCATGTGGCCACACCCATATAGCAACAGCCAAGGAGGTCCCACTCATTGCCTTCTCGTGGCGAGGGTGTTGTGAGTGTCTGGCGCTTTAACCGGGTTGGTGAGTATAGAGGATCTACTTAGGGGAGTCGGATAAAACCCTATTTCTAAACTAATGGTGCATATGGGACCCAAAATCCTGATTGAAAGAATGGCGTACGAACCAACTGTTAATCAGTGGCTACCTTGGAACTGCATCTGCGAACGTTACTCATCTACCTGTTGGTTTAGACCTGTAGGTCAAAGTCTCAAAGAGTGGCTCTCCAGGAAAACCACCTGTTTCGGTTTGGGCAACCGAGCAGTATCCTAGCCCGCACAAAAATTCAATAATTTGTGTGGCGCATAAATATTTGGGTGCCCTTATGTGCCAGTAATTTTGTGTCAAAATAAATCTGAAATAAAATCTATTTTGTAGTAATAAATTGTATAAAACCAGTTCTATATCACTGAATTGATCGAATTATTAGCGGTTGTTTAAAATTCATCCATTTTAAGCATAATAATACGACTTTAAGATTCAAATTTGAAAGTCTCTAGAATCTATTTTCCTAAAGTAGGTTAAGAAAGATAGAAAGTAAGTGCTACAAACGACTCACCAACATGACTTGAGAATAGTTTCAATTGTTAACAATCGTAATTTTACCTATCACTGACTCATTGGCTTGAAATTAATGAACAATCAGTAGTCCGAAAGTCAAATCTAGCACAACTTCTCCAATTGCCTACTATTCTTCAAATAGTTTAATTTCTTGACTAGAACTCTCTAGTCGACGACAGCTCAGTAGTCCGATGGTTAGGCGTTCGCCTACAATACCGAAGGTCCTGGGTTTGAGTCCTGCAGGGTGCAGGAGTCGTGGATGTGCATTGCTGAGGAGTCGCATGCCAGGACGAAATGGCCGTCCAGTACTTCCAGGTTTCTAATGGTGGTCTAACATTGATCGATTCATGATTTCAAAAATGTGTAAAAAATTATTGTCCAAAAAAAATATGAATAAGATTTTTATAGTCAGATCTTAACTTACCGTACATTCTCCTCTTTTGTTACATCCATGAAATTTACAATTATTGATTTGTTTCTCACAATGTGTTCCATAAAATCCTGGCAAACATTCACATCGATATAATACTTTCATTCCATATGGATCAGGTTGATTGATACAAATACCATGGTTCTGACAAATATTTGCATACTCATTACTATCACATATACGCATATCTGAATAAGAAGATAAAATATATGATAAGATTTGTGAGTGATGTGTTATACTGATAGCTGTAGTTGTGGTGATTAGTTCTGAGTCTGGAACTCATCTACATTTACATCAAGCCAAAGTCTTGGATAACTGGGATAATTAAGTGTTATCATCTGAAACAAAACAGTCACTCATTTTGGTGATTTGATAATAGGCTTGAAGATAGATTATTTATACGAAATAAGCGCGTATAAATATTAGTATTGTAATCAGTAGTTTCACCAACCCTACTTTACGTTCATTTAAATTTTTTCCATAGTCTTTAAGTGTTGATAGCTTACTCCCCAATATTTTACTTACTACTCGTTTTTGATGTTGAAAAGTAAACTATTTCAGTTCTCTATGTATAGGTATTGGAGATTAGTTGAGGTTATATATTTACATAATGTGATGGAGTGTATGAGAACAGAATTATGGGTGGTTTAAGACGTGTGTATCGTCCCATTTAAGATTCATCAGTTGGACGTACTTGTACCCAAGTGGTAATACTCACATTAGCACACGAAACAATCATCATTCTCTTCAAAAGTCAATGAATGTATTATCCACTAAGGTTCATATATGTAATAATCTGTTAAAAGTTACTTAGTCTTGAATATCACTGATGAATTAATCCAAACTTTTACAAATATTAATGTGTACTTACTTATATTGCACAACATTCCAGTCCAACCAGCTTCACATTCACATGTAAATGGTATGTAACTAGTATGCTTTGAATTAAATTGACAATGTCCATTCATACAACCGGGTGTTGTAATACACTGATCACAATTCGAACCAGTCCATCCATCAGTGCAACTAATAATGCAAAAGAAAATGTTAAAGTCAGTTGGGCATTGTGATATTAAGAAGATTATTGATTTAAAAATTGAAAACTATTGGTTTGATAAAATGTTAAGCCGTCAAAGAGAACTTTATACCATTGAAGATACGATGACGTACTACTCTGGTTCCAATTCGGTACCAGTAATACACACAATTACTTCTTAGATCAATCTAAAAACAACCGACCAAGTTCTATTGTCTGTCTTTAATTATGATTACCTGTTCACTGATGAGATATACATTGATAGTTGAATTAAATTATTTTCATTCCGTACAAGATTTCTAAATAGTTGAAATATGGAGTGTAAACAATTAATTTCTAACTATTTGGTCTAAAGGTAAAGTGCTTACCTGAGGGTTCTGACTTCGCCTCCGATTTAAAAAAAAACGCACATTTTGAATCACACTTACTTACTTACGCCTGTTACCCCCAGTGGAACATAGGCCGCCAACCAGTTTTCTCCAACAAACTCTGGGCTTCCCTTTCCAGTTCTTTCCAGTTTCTGTTCATTCTTCTCATGTCTTTCTCTATTTCGCGGCGTAATGTGTTCCTTAACCTTCCTCTTTTCCTTTGACCTTGAGGGTTCCATGTGAGGGCTTGTCTCGTGACGCAGTTAGGTGCTTTTCGTAGTGTGTGTCCTATCCACTTCCACCGCTTCTTCCTGATTTTCTCCTCCACTGGAATCTGGTTTGTTCTCTCCCACAGTACGTTGTTGCTGATGGTGTCTGGCCAACGAATCCGAAGTATTTTGCGTAGACAACTGTTAATAAACACTTGTATATTCTGTATGATAGCTTTGGTATTTCGCCAAGTTTCCGCTCTATAAAGTAGAACTATCTTGACATTTGTATTAAAAATCCTGATTTTGGTGTTGATTGATATTTGCTTGGAGTTCCAGATATTTTTCATTTGTAGAAATGCAGCCCCCTTGCTTCGCCGATCCGCGCCCTCACATCTGCATCGGATCCACCTTGATTGTCGATGATGCTGCCAAGATATGTGAAGGATAGGATCTCCATCAAGGATGATTTGGTTGACGCATGTTGTGTTGTATCGTAGAATCTTACTTTTCCCTTTATGAATGTTGAGACCTACTGATGTTGAGGCTGCTGCTACACTGGTAGCCTTTTCTTGCATTTGTTGTTGCGTGTGCGATAGAAGAGCCAGGTCATCTGCGAAGTCCAGATCGTCACACTACTAGCCGTAAATCCACCTATTCTATTAAAACTCGTGAAGTAGAGCTATATAGAGGCAATATCCATGTAGGATGCATATATGCCAGTAAACGCCGGTCAGAATTCAAATCAAGATGAAAACGTGATCATTTGAATCTCTTTTGAATACTTAAATTAAATAAATTTTAGTTTATTATTTTTTTCCGACTCACAGACATAATTCCGGTCCAACACAAGTTCCATGTTTACAACCTTTTCTACACAGTGCTAAAATCGAGGGAAAAAAATGGATATAGTTTAATTCAAAACGTATGCTACAAATGAAATCAACAAAACTATCAGAGAAAGGTTGCAAAAATATTCTCAAAATATCTTCATTAAATCACTTGGATTTAAATAGTTCTTGTACGTTTATTAGTTACACGTGTTGAGATGGACTTCTTGATATTCTATTGAGAAGTTGTGAATTGTATAGCTAAAAAGACGGAGTTAATTAAATCGAACGATGTATTATGAATTAATTCAAAGAATAAATGATGTAGTTCAATGCAAAAACTCCGTTTTGATGTTGGACAGTTGGAAGAAGTCAAAAGGAAATCAAGGATTTATGATTTTTTAGCCAGTTGGCACTATTCAGCAAAATATCTAGGTCTAGATTCTAAACTTTTGCGTGTGAAGTAGCTTTTTCATCTTTCCTCTCTTACTTACCAACATAATTCATAACATCGGTTATCCAACCTTCAGTCTTTACCAAATTGAAACTGAAAGCTGATATCCAAGAATTGTAGAATATATATTTACTGTCAAACTACAATAGTGTCACTTGATATAATTTTAACTGCATTTCACTGATCAAGCAGATACAAATGTTATACCGTTCGTTATAAATGAACTATTCAGAGCACGAACTACTGAAGCAATATTACAAAGGATTACTCTTAACATACGAATGGAAACATTCAAAAGCTCCACACAAATAGATCTTTAGATATCAAAGTAACTAAAGTAAAAATTAACGATCACAGTCTACTACACTTTTCATTTCTCCATTCAAACTGTTAGAAGTTGTGCTAACTTGATGAACACACTTAACATTAGTATAGTTCATCTAAAAACTGGATAGTTGCAAGAAGTCAAAAGGAAATCATGGATCTATGTGTTTTTAAGCCAGTTGGCATTATTCAGCACAACATCTAGATCCAGATTCTAATGTTTTGTGTATGTGAAGCAGCTGTTCATTTGGTATATTCATCTTAGAATAAATATCATCAAGCCTAAAATGAGAAAACTACTTGAAAAGTTCGAACGAAGTCAAAGTTGAAATCAATTCATCACTAACCTTGATTACATCTTGCTCCTGTCCATCCAGTATTACATATTAATTCACCAGTTTGTGGATGACATTGATAATGACCTAATTTTGAATCACGTGGTTTACAATAATGATTACAATGTTCACCATAATAGTTTAAAGTGCATGAATAACGATAACTGGCTGAAATATTAAAATATGATTGAGATAATGGTATTGATGAAGACAATGAGCTCTTAGTGTTTTCATTTGTAAATTCTTGTAAACTTTCTATACTTGAATTATATTCAGATTCAAGTAATTTAATTGATCTCCATGGTTGATTTAATTCAACTCTGGATAATATTGCAGATAATTGATCAATTAACCATAAATCTGAAATAGTAAAAATGTTTAGTTTGGTTAGAATCATTTTAAAAATTAGTTAGAAGTAGTTAAATTCTGTTAATAATAGAATATGTATATGATTTGTATTCTCTGAAATTCTAATCCTCAGAATTCCTCATCATCTCTATCTTTCTCTTTCTAAATTTATCTCACTGAATTATAATACTTCTTGAATCATATCTTCGAATCCTAATCTTCTCCATTACTTCTACCTACTATCTCTGCTCATGCCGGATTTGAACTGACACTTGAGTCTCTGCGCTGTGGTATGGTAACTTAAACTTATGTCCGTACGTATGATGTTCTACGGTGTAACTGACTGACTGATCTATCGAAAAGGTCAATAAGAATGAAATATTTATTTAATCCAGCTCAAATTATCCCCTATGATGTGAATTATCAATAAGCGAAACAAAATCATAGAGAAAACTTATTTTCACACTGTCTATTATCACAGAGATGTTATGGTTTATAGTTGACTGATTCATTTTAAACTATGTATGCATAAAGACAAACTATATGTGGAGGATAATATTAGTTTAATGAATCAGTTCACATCTTAGTGGAATATTTTGAATGTTTATTAATCTTTATTAAAAGACTGTTAGATTACATTGTATATACCGGTAGGGAATTGATAAATTGATATGCTCGTCACTTGGTATACTTGAATGCTATTACGAGTTCACCTCACTCGGTAAATGCAACGAAGGTCAACGATACAGTGACACGATAGGCCATCTTAATCCCTTGTCTCATGCCCTGCTAACTAGATCAAGAAACCTTGATAAGGTGTAGAGAATGTATTCTACAAGCATCCAGAAAATGCGAGGTTCACGAGCGTACAACTCAAGCGTAAAGACGCCCTTGGGGGAGCCACAAATTAGCGTACTAAAATAATCTATCAACCAATGACAGTCAAGGATTTTTCAAGTGGGAATCGCGAGCTGAATGTCAGCTGGCAAGAAAATATAGAAATTCAAAATTTCAGAAAAAAATTACAAAATTAGAACATTTTCAAGTAAGTTCTGGGGATCTAACGTCCCCAACATAAATATTATTCTCACTAATTCTTTCTAATGAAAACTTAGTTAGATCAAAGAATATCAGTGATTTCGTTTTGATCCTTATATATTACCACATTTGGTACAATATATTATGTAAATTATTATGATATATATTCCAGACATCTTGACAAAAATATGAAAACCTCTCGCAATGTATCTGTTGATGATATTACAAACATTTGCTTAGATTTTATTATTGACATGTTCAACCAAATAAACAAATTAACTTATGATTGAGTTTGCAAAAAAAAATTGTTCTGAATATTATTGGAATCAATCGGATCAACAGTGATATATAGAATTATCTATAATTCAATTGATGTCACTGATTAGATAAGGTAAAATTAAATTATTTCAGTTTTTAAGTAGACTATCTACCATAATTTTGGTTATGTGGACATTCATTGTCATTGGTGTCACTCAATATGATTTGAACATTTACTTGTTTCAAGCGGAAAAATCAACATTTCATCTCACAATATGGTTTATATACAATTATCATCTTTTAGGTCCTGAAATTGCTGATTTCTAACTTTGAAATGTTTCTTCTTCTATTCGATACTACTTTCAAGTAGATTAAAGTGATGAATAAAAGTTTACATCAGCCTAAACAGGTTATTAAACAGTGTAGCCGTAATTACAGTAGTGTTCACCTTTTGTGTTCATTGATAAATGATTTCAGATGGGTTGCTGCTGGAATTCTAGTGAAAAAAGGTGACCGGTGGTGCTGACCTCATCAGTAATGACACAGAAAATGATTGCTGAATATCGTGAATTGAATGAATAAAGCCAGAACAACAAATGAGGCAAAATAATATGAATTCCTTACAATTCGTAAATTCATTTATTGAAGTTATAAAAACAAGTCATGGTATCCCAACTACGTGGTCTAAATGTTAAGTGCTCTGCAATAAACTTAAATTTTCTGTGTTCTGTCGCAGATGGAGTGGTAAATTCATACTGTTAGGCAGTCATATATGAGGAAGAACACAGCTGTCATATATTTCCTGATTTCCAGTGATTGTCTAAGTAACAGTAGTTCGTGAAGTAAACTACGAAAAATTCAAGCCCTCCATAAAACCCCCTTATCAATAAAAAAAACACTACTGAAATTAAGTATTCAGTAGTAAGAAAAAAGTACAAAGTAAACAGATTTACATCTTGTTCATTACCTCCATTCGATGTAAGATGATACACGTTGAATAACAATTTTATATTATGCTAAAAAATATTAAAAAGAATAGATAAAAACAACAAAATATAGTTTTAACGAGAAAAAATATCAAAATAAATGGATGAGTCAAGAGAAAAATTATCTTCAAAATGTTTATCAAAATTCATTTACCTGTTTTTAAAGTTTCTAAATAAATTTAAATAATGTCTAAAAGTGGAATTAAGTAGTTGTGATTCATCATATTTGAGATTTGTCAAGCTTACAGGTCTGCATACCAGTGTTGATATGTCTATAACGAGACTGGAACCTATAACTTTTTGCATCAGGATCCAAATTTGTCAACCGTTAGGCTAATGACATCAGTTATTCAGTGAGTTATAC